AGGTCACAAAGCGGTACTCCCGAAATAGCCCGCCGCTGACCGTAATTTATTACGATTGTGTTTACATCGACTCGCTTTGGAATCTCTTACTTCCAAAGCAATGTTAATTAAGTGGTACAATTCAAATTTATATAATATAAATATAACGTGAGTTTACCAATATAAACATTTTCTACTATAGACAAATATGCTAGTACTAGCTGTTTTACAAAACAAACGAACAAAAAATTGTTAAACAAAAAACTACAGTGTACTTCGGGAATCTGACATTTTTGTAGAAAATCCGTATTCCACGTGTTACTCCAGACTTAGTTTTTAACTGTGCCAAATTTCAATAACAAATGTTGATCCGTTGCAGAATTATAGAGTAAACATTAAAAATAAACGCATCCCACGTGAACCATAACTATTTCTGGGATCAAAAGTAGCTTATGTGTTCTTCCAGACTTCCTTCTGTTAAGCTATTTAGGCTACAAACTCTAACAAACACCCATCCATATGAACATTCACATTTATTAAGAACATTAGTAGGACGTAAGATTCCGCGTATCTTGAAAGAACTAGGTAGTGTATAATATCTCGACAATGAAAACAGAAACTAAATGGTACAAATAAATTTCTGGGTTCCGTATGCAAGTTTCCCCCATCTATTGTGCAAAGTAAGCAAAGGTCGCCGGACCAGCACAAAGAAAAGAAATGTATCTACATCTGTCTACTGTCTGTTATCTGTAGCTACTCTGTGCTCTTTTGTGTTCTCTGTAGTGTATATGGAAAGTGCACTCTATTCGGATAGCACAACAACGGAGGCCTTGAAATTAGGGCTGCCAACTATTACCATACTAACTTCCGCCCGTGACTTCGTCCGCGTCGAATTAAAAAAGGATAAGCAAGTAGTCTATGTATTCTTCCACACTATCCTCTACACTTGTAACATACATCTATCTGTCCAATACTTGTATGATTTTCGAAAATGTTTTCTAATTCTCGATTTTATTCAAGACCATTGAATGTTATGTCCTGTTGCTAAGTATTCTCATTTAACTAAACATTTATTTTTACTTTTCAACCTTGATTGTTTTTGCTAGATCTCTAGCCAATGGAAAACTACGTTATTGCGTGAAGCGCATGATAAATATTGATTTAAAACTTGAGTGAAGCGGTAATGACTTTATTGCTTATTTAAAAAGGAATTGTATTTAAATAGAGTAATCATATTTTATGTGAAATATTTATTTTCTTTCGATGATAGAATATGCCATGTTAATTTTATCACCATTCATTTGGTTGTTACCCTCCCTTATCTCAAACAAAAAAGTATTTTAATTTTTTGTTAACTTTTCAATATCCTTGTCCTGATGTTTTATTCAACGTGTCAACCCTAGTGTGCTTTGGTGAACTGTGCCGGTGCAACTGGGTCGAGGCGGAACAATAGCCGCGCAGGGCTCCTGAATTCGAGTGACACTAGCTCAAATGCCTCCCGGCATTCCGCCCTACATACACACTGTACACAATACACAAGTACACATTACACAAATACAGTGCACACGTTACAATACACAATCGTTAATTATGTTAGATCGAATGCCGGATCTTTCCTCCTGATAGTTCAAACGCCATGTTACTGATACGAAAAATTGACGCTAAGCGCATACCTTTGAATAAATTATCGCACAGCTGTCGCATTTTGATTCCTATGAGCATATACAGAGGTGTGGACAAACACAATTTTAGCTGTGCATCTAAAGTTGAATTGGCTGCGAAACAATCGACTATCGCACAATAGTTGTGCGATAGATTAGTGGTGTGCGTCCGCTCTCAGGCGTTAAACAGCGCTTGATCGACTCTGAGTGTCAGTAATACGGAGTAATACTAATTATTAACATTTACCTTATCAAATTGTTTAAATTGAATTCGTGAGTTTTCTGCGTTGTAATGGTAGCACGACACAAAAAGTAATTACACTTTTATACGTTAACCTTGCTACCTGTAATGGAGCGGGCAATTAACTAATTGTTTTACTAATGATGTTTTTTTGTTATCTGTACTTTTACATTGATTGTGGGACAACAAACATGTAAACTAAATTTCAATCCAACTCCATTAAGTAAACAGAAGAACATCAAATGCGTCATCAGGACGAGAATTATTTTTCTTTTACGGACTTCCCAAACTGTGTATAGACAAGTATTAAACAATTCAAAGTTTATAGTGACTCGTGGTAAGCTGGCGAGCGCTTTTCAGCACTATGCCAGTTGACAGTACCGATTCTAGCCTTACTACTGCTTGAGCGATATTTCTACCACGCTCTCCATTTGACATGACTAGGTTAGGTCAAGAGTGTTGTGTTAGAGTAGACTCTAGACTTAGACGTCTCACAATACAATTATTCTTTGAAGCTAGTTGTATCCCGGTTCGCCGTAATTTGGGAATAGCATAATACATCACTAAACATGACATAATGTACATTTTATCCTTCATACAACCTCGAACATTACCGGAATGAAATTGAGGCATTAGATTCGTGTTTGCGTGGCAACGAGCCGAACAAACACAATTAAACTACGCAAACAAGTTCACGATCCTACGACCGTGATAATGGTTGTTAAGCGTTATTATACGAAGACAAATAAATACTTTTTTCCAGATCAAACTAGACAGAGGTTATCTTTTCTTTTAATGTTCTTTTAATGTTGAGCACATTTTTTCCCGTTCTATTTATCAGCTTGCCCTTGTCCCTAGGCAGGGTCAGCACAGTATGTGCTGCTCTTGGATATATATCTATTAGCATATCTGAATATATTTTCCGTTCTCTTCATGATTTCTTTATTGTCATGCCATCTATATTCATCTAAATTGAATTTTTCTTCTGTCCGAAATATGACAATGTTGTTATCCTTTATAAGGAAAATAATCTTACTTCTTACTATTACTATAAATGCGAAGTTTAGATGGATGGATGTTTGATAGAGGTTGTAGCCTAAACAGCTCAACGGATGTCGATGAAATTTGTCAAAGACATAGCGCGAGGTCTGTAAGAACACATAGGCTACTTACTTTTTTTAATTACACGCGGACGGAGTCGCGGGCAAAAGCTATAACACAAGACTTACGACAGTTAAGGCATTTCTTATTATTGCACTCTAAAACGTAATAAGTAGTAAAGTATTTAGTATTAAATAGAAACGTGACATGCCTTATCATTTATCAAGATAACCGTGATTCTTTGTCACGGCCGATAGCTTATCTATAACCACGATGAATTGCTTTTTACTATCATTACCTTACTTAGGAATCTAGACTTTCTAACTATAAGTCTAAGATGAATTTTAAATCCATTGAAGCAATATACTTCGATACAGTCGCACTTCAAGTCGTTAAGGTCACTAAGGATACCCCTTAGTGTAGATTAAATAGTATAATAGTAAGTAGGAAAATACACTAAAGGTCTGGTAGTAACCATAGTATCGTTATATTGGAAGAAATTTTAAACACTTTGGTAAGCCGCTTAAATCCGCTAGAAGTTAATATTTTAATGGAATTTGGTGTATGGCGTTATTTGGCTGTATGATTGCTGTTAGAATTATACGGAACCGTTGACGCTTAATTCCGTTCCACGATATCCTATTTGGATACTGTTTCAATAACATCCCTTCTGTGTAGTACAAGGTAACTTGATTTATTTACATTTAGTAGTGATTTGACATTAGAGAAAGTGACAAAGCCAGCGGAAGGAAACTTCTAGTTAGTTTGTATCTGTATTGTTTGATTGGTTTGTAATATTTTTATAGTTAACAAATGTAACGTTCATCCAATGAAATGTATGGAGATAATTCCCACGTAAACAATGCAAATTCGCAATTTTGTTATTTTCTTTAAAGTTTTCACGTTGTTTTAGTCGTTATCTAAATGTTAAATATAATATTTAATATGCAATAATATTTACTTTGGCTTAAAATCTAGGCGTGCGATGTCTTGCCTTGAAACATCAAATTATTACGCACAATTTGCATCGAATCGTACATGAATTTATCTAAATATATACAGTATTTAATACATTTAGAATAACTTATTTATACTAGGTTTTATAAATATGTATTTAATTTCAAATTTATGCATAATGGTATGCTTCTGAATAAACCTTGTGTTACATTAGTTGAAAAATCAGTACCGGTTTCAGCCTTATTAGCGCCCTGGACGATGTTTCTACCGCGCCCATTTTACCATACCTTAGGAGGACTGACACTCTTTATTGTCTAGCGCCTTGGGCAGTCGCCCAACAGCGCTACATGAGAAGTTATAATGAACTTTCGAAGTGACTATGAGAATTTCATTATTTGAATGTCGTCGTGTCACCGGTAAATTGCGAAAGCGGACCCTTTGTAATTTAACTTGATAAATCGTAAAAACTCGGCAAATTGCATATGGATAGAATTCATTCAGAAAGTGTAACATTTTGACACACTGTAAAGGTGAAGAAAAGCGCATTGGTTGTCTCTCAGGCATCTGACAATAGTGCAAGCAATAAAATGTCGTTCTTTCAAAGCAATTTGTTTTGTTAATTACATGGGTTAATTGCAAATATACAGCGTACGCGATTTACCCGTGACATACACAATAGAAGGGAAAACTTTGCGGTAAAGAGAGTTGTTGGGTTCGTTGTTAACAATAACTTTGGTGGCTGCTATTCAATTAGCTAAAACAATGCGAGTTATTTACGGTCGCTTGTCGGACTTTCCTAACTCTAGACTTGAAACAATAGTTTACTTTGCAAGGATATTTGTACGCAACTAACTCAATGTAGTTTATACTTTAATTAATTTGCAAGAGCCCAAACCTTCTCTAGTTGTCGGAACCTGCTAAATATAGAAATGACAAGCTTTTGCGGACTACATCGTCCGCGCGGTATTTAAAAAAACTTAGTAAGTAGCCTATGTATTCTTCAAGACTATATTCTATGTCTGTGCCAATTTTTATCGAGATTTATTGAACCGCTGGAGATATCTTCTACGAAACATTTATCTAACTTTCGCATTCATATTAGTAAGACTAAGAAGACTAAGAAGAAAAGTAGAATTTTCAAAATCGGTCATTCAGGGGCGTAGTTATTCCGTAACACACATAAAAACATACAGACGAATTTAGTACCTCTTTCTTTTGGGAAGTCGGTTAAAAATAGACACAAATATACTTTAGTCGACATAATTTTGTCGAAATCAGGTTAACGATACATATTATTATCTTAATATTAGTATAAATGAATCCATTTAAATGTTAACGTGCATGTCATCGAAGTATATTCAAGTGTTTGCTCGCGGCCTCCGGCGATGTCTCCCAGTCTAAACAAACATGCTTCATTCTACTACTTGCCTCCACACGTACAAGTTCCGTGTATTTACCGACATATTTTATACTTGTTTGTGAAGGAATTATAGTTTCTATCATATGTTAAACATGTTTCTAGTTTTTTAATTAAGAAGCATACATGTCTGTTGCCATGCAGGATGTTAGAGCAAAGACGCTGAAGCAATGAAATAAGGAAGCGACCGAGTCCTTAGACATCCATAATTGAAGATGCCTACCTTTAATTGACGGAGACGGGGACGCATAGAGAGAGAACGTTTTCCTTTCCTTTGCATCCCCTTCTACGTTAACATTATAGGGCCGTTCTTTCATAGATCTAGTAAATTTATATTCGAATTATTTTATACTCAAACTTCTATTCAAATATCGTCCCGACTACAAAGATTAACACGTTAAATGCCATACAGTTTTCATTACGAAAAAACCCGGCGAGTTGGTGGCACTGAGAGTGTTAACATTTGTCTAACGTTGACGATACAATGACGTTGTACAGTTTCTGTAGAATGAATCGATTTATTTCCAGATCTTAGTGTTAGGTCATCACGATTCCTAACCTCTATCAGCAGTCACGCGTATTAACGTAATAACTTGTAAAGATTTGTTGTGATAATAATCATTGCCGACATTATCTTTATTGTAAAACAATTAACCTTTAACCTTAATTATAGCCTAGCAAGGCTTGTTTAGTTCTTTATAGATTTATTTTATTTAAATATATATAACTAGCTGTTCCTTTGCGACTTCATCCGCATAAAATTATGAAAAAAATGTTTTATTGTTTACATGTGTCAAATTATCAATTGCAAATGTCAAAATGACATGACATGATGACAAACCGTTACTACCTTGCTTCCTTGATGTTGGAAACAACTTTTGGTCTCTTTCCCACATTAGGGTTTTTATCCAGAATATTTACCTGCTAAGTTTAATGGCGTGAAAATGTATAGCCTAAAGCGTGACGTAAGTGTAGGGCTTTTTATTAAAAAAAATAATTATTCAAACATATGCTGTAATTGCTGACATCTTAGGCAACAAAACAGTGTGTGTTTACGCTTTATTATAATAGTATAGATAATTTAATATGTCTTTCAAAATAATTTGTCCTATCTGTTTAAGTACTTATTGCTTTTATACACATTGAGCAACTACGACATTAGCTTTTCTCAGTGGAAATATGTATGTGTATAGGATTAACTTTGGCTATTAAAATTTAACATTTGTAAAGGCTTCGAAGTATTATCGGATCAGAACAAACATTTATGATACAATGGTGTCGGCGTCATTCAACATGTTGAGCTGCTAGCTGGCATGCCAGCTATTACCCATTTTACTGGCTTGTGTATTTCAATCTTAACTCGATGTGTATCATTGCAGTGGCACGGCGATTTGTCATGCGAGGCAGCGGCATCATCGTCAGGCGTGGGCGCACCATTGCTAGCCGAGTCGGAGCTCATCAAATTGTGTCCGATGTGCC